CAATAAGTAATATGTATAAACAATAAATTTATTTTTTCACAAATTTTGTCCCATTCGTTGGAAAACCTCCCCTATTTTGTTTCATTTTCTTTCTCTCATTCCCTAGATACCATCATTAGTAATATGTACTGCAAGCTATAAAAACGTATAACGTAAATAAATGTATTTATGATAACTCGAACTAACCGGACATTCTCTAATATATGATGTCAATGATACTGTTTGAACAAAAGTAATCAAAAAGCTTGGAAGATATTGAATACTCATCAAGTTTTCAAAATCTACCGAAATTCTCAAGACTTTGAAACCTATCAAGACATCCAAGACTGAAGAGTTTTAAGCTACGAATCATGTTCGAAGTGATTCGAATTTGTCGCCACATATACAATACAGATTCGAAACGATTCGAAGTATTTCAGATTCCACGAGATTTATACCAGTTATACAGGGTGTTTCCTTTATCCTGAAAAATTGGAATATCTCGTGAGGGACTGAACCTATTAAAAAAAAAAAGGTTGAACAAAAGTTGTTTGATATGAAGGGAGACACTATATGGTGCAAATTATTTTTTTTGCAGGTCGAGTAGTGGGGAGGGATTTCGAAGTTAATTTTATTCTTTTATATGGAATATATACAGAGTGTCCCATTTAAAACAGGTCACCTGAATAACTCGCTTGTTTTTGGAGATAAAAGAAAATGCATCAGACCAAACTTACTTGGTATTAGGGCTATTACTTTTAACCGGGTATCTGAGATACCCGGGTAGATGAAAATAACCCGATCGACCCGGGTATCTCACGAGTACTCGAATATGTACATAAAACAGTCGAAATCTCGGTGACCACTACCGCTGGTGGTTCCCCGGGTAAACAAATGCGGATTGGTCGCGATAGCGATGCAACGATGCCGACGTGTCAAAGTGCACCTGTACCCTACACAATATTGTTTTGAAACCTCTGCCGAAACAGTCGAGGGATAATACTCTCATCTCATGAGATACCCGGATAATTTCTATTTACCCGGGTACTTTCTGATTACCCGAATATTTCACGAGTAACCCGGGTATCTCTTAAGTAACAGCCTTACTTGGTATCGAGGAGCTCATAATCTGATGTTACTAATTTTTTGATAGGTGGAGGAGTCAAGGAGATATGAAGGTCAACTCCGTTTTTTTAAATGGAACGGTATGGTTTTTTTACTTACATTCTGATAGAGTGTTTCAAAACGAATACAATGACCTATTATGAAGGTCATTCAAGGTCACTCAAGGTCAACTAAACAGATTATCTCAAAGCACTCTTGCAATACTTTCGTGTCTTCTCTGGTTGCTGGCATATCGCTCTTGTAATTACTGATAAGGGTCACAGAACATAAAGAAACATTCAGTCACATTGTAAGCTTATCTGTATCCACGAATGTTGTTAGTAGTTTGACTACCGAGTAGAGTACGGTTTCGTAATATTCAATCTTAGTGTTCAATTTTCAAAAATGCGTTACACGGCAGCAGAGAAAGTGGAAATGGTTCTGATTTATGGTGAATGTAATAGAATTATGAGGAAAGCAGTACGTGTGTATGGTACGATCCATGTTCAAGGTCGCCAATTTGAACACTTGTACTAGCAGTGAGTACGTAAATAACATGTTACATGTAAATCGTCGAAGTGTTCGAAGAGTGCTTTGAGATAATCTGTTTAGTTGACCTTGAGTGACTTTGAATGACCTTCATAATAGGTCATTGTATTTGCCTTGAAACCCTCTATCAGAATGTAAGTAAAAAGCCATACCGTTTCATTTAAAAAAACAGAGTTGACCGTCATATCTCCTTGATACCTCCACTTATCAAAAAGTTAGTAACATCAGATTATGAGTCCCTCGATACCAATTAAGTTTGGTCTGATACATTTTCTTCTATCTCCAAAAACAAGCAAGTTATTCGGGTGATCTGTTTTAAATGGTACACCCTGTATATTGTAAAATGTTACAAATTCATCAGTTTCTAAGGAGTCAAGTGAACCGGAGTTGCTGGCTAACGCCTATTAGGCTACACGCCACGCTGTAAATAAAAATCAAACTTATCTCCCGTTATACTTTTCACGTTACCGATATAAATAAACGATTTCTTACTTACTAATGTTCAAGTAAAAAAAAAAAATTTTATAATAAATTACCTTATATGGCAGGTCGTTGAATTCATCTCAACAAATGCCATCGCATTACGAAAGAAACAAAAAAATATATGGTTCCGTTTCAAAAAATGAACTTGACTTTGAAACTCGACCTGCAAAAAAATAATTTGCACTATATGGTGTTCTCCTTCATACCAAACAACTTTTGTTCAAACAGTTTTGTGATAGGTTTAGTCTCTCACAAGATATTCCAATTTTTCAGGATAAAGGAAACGCCCTGTATATGTATGAAAGGTTAATACTGGCGTGTTTGCAGCTATGTCAGTCGTATGTTCTAGCACCTGCAAGGGCATTATCATTTACAAATGGATAGCAGTTCTACTTTTCATGAATGATTTTATTACATATTGTAAAGAATTAATATGGTTAATTTTTTAATTGGATTTTATGTTATTAATGTATTAGTAATGATAATTGAGCCCTTTAAAGCAAAAGTGGTGTAAGTCACAAAAGGCGATTTCTAGATATTGAGGGTTGAAGTAAAAGTTCTGTAAAATTCAGGAATATGAACGAATGTTAAGTCTCTTTTATGTTGTAAGCCTCTGTATAGTTATACCTTAAGCTAATAATGCCATTTTGCCCCTAAAATCAAGTGTATATATAATTATTTTATTCAATATTGTTCTGACTTACACTAATTATTATTAGATGTAATAAAACAGGGATCTGTTTGTTGAGATAGACATTAGTTTCTACTGCTTTATTAATTACCAAACAAATTATCTAAAAAGAAAATGTATAAAATGTGGTTTATATTATCATGAATTTAAATCGAAAAATTATAAGCATGATACAGAAACTTCGTAGATAGCGATAACGTTAAGCTCTTATTTATCGCTTGCTTCTTCGAAATCCAGAAGTCCAATGTCATTTATCTGATACCAAAACTGACTTACACCATTCTTGTATATAGCGTCCATGTCATTCGAGTGGGTGGTTTTTACTTATTTTGCTACCCACCGAGAAACTAACGAAGATATTCTTACACCACTTCTGCACAAAACAGAAGGAAGGTTAATCTTTTGAGATGTTGTGTTAACTCAAGAAGGCAAAAAATTGTCTTACACCACTTTTGCTTTAAACAGCTCAATTATATTATCATTAATAAAGAGTGTAACACTGTTTGTATCAAAAGTTCTTTCGCAGAATTCGAAGAACTAAGTTTATACAGAACTCGTCTTAACAATTTCGTTTTGAATCACTAAATTTTCATAATTGTAAAAGTGTGATTCAAGACCTAAATTAATTAATTGCAGAAAATAAATGTTTTTTTTTTTATATTTTTATAGAAGCGCGAGAGGTCACCAGGGAAAAGAATGGACCGACTTCGACGGAGTTTTCGCGATAGTTTTCGGCGGCGGAAGGAGCCGCATGTACCGGAATCGAGTAAACTTCATCAATGGCAGGCAGATGAAACTGCTGTCCGCTCAGCTACATGCGCTTTTCACGTTAAGGTGCGATCCTCAATTTCATTATTGCACGCCATTCCATTTACACCATGTTGTGCTATCCACTTATATGTACTAATCTTGTTCAAAACAACGCAAAATCTTTTTCCGTTAATGAAATCCAAATATAGGAGTTTAAAACATTTTAATTTCGTTAATTTAATAACATGAAAATTGAAATTTAGTTCGTGTTCCAGAGTGCACCACGTAACTGTCGCCACGATTTTTCAGGCACTTGCAATAATTTGACAAAAACATGTTTTGAATGAAAGGTAACATGAAAGGCTTTCAATCGACTGCAAATTGCAATATAAGAAATTTCCAAAAAATTGTTTTTCGATAAAATGTCGATAATCGATTTTAAATGACACTACGTATCTTTGACTTCACACTGTTGTAGCTGATGTTATGACGAGTTCAACGACCTACTGTACTATGACATTGAAATGACCTCAAATTTTGAAATGTCGACTTAATTAAGGGAAATGTTATTTTTAAAATTATTTTATTTCCATCAAGTTACACATTTCAAAATGAAGGTGAGCTTCAACAAAAAAAAATGTTAATTATACACGCATTACAAAAAGAACATAAACAGCGTACAGAAATAAGCATACATACCTCGTGTAGTGTACCTTTCAGTACCTTTGTGTGTTCAATTATAATAATTGCTCGAATTGTAGCCCATAGTTTTGTAAGCACAATTTCGAACGATGCAATAAATTTGTATTGGTTGCTGCTACAATGATGTTACAACGAACTTCTTGACATGCTATGCGGATTCGCTGCTTTAGGTATGCAATGTTTCGAATTGGCACAGCGTAGAAAAAACCTAATGGAGTTAAATCAGGGAACCGCGTTGACCAAGAATAGGTCCCTAAGTGCCCAACCAACGTTCTCCTTTGTATTTAGGTATTTACTAACGATCCGAGCATTGCAAGGTAGGCATCCGTTTTGTTGGAAATACAACTTATATTGATTTTTGTACGCTATTTATGCTCTCTTTGTAATGTGCATACAGTCAACATTTTGCCTGAAGGTCACCATTTTGAATGTGTAATTTGATTGAAATAAAATAATTTTCAATAGTAACATTTCTGTTGAGTGAACCTAAATTACTGAATTCAATCTGATTAACGTTTATTCCAAACATTTTTTTGTCGAATGATCGGAAGTGCCTGAAAAATAGTGGCGACAATTACGTAGTACACCCTGTATATATAAATATATTATACACATATACAATTAAGAGAAACGTAATAATAACCTTTATCATATTTTAAATGTTTTTTACGAAAATCGAACCGTTAGTAGCTGTAAAATTAGTAAATGTATACAAATAATCGATATTCAAATAGTAGGCCTGCTTTTATATTTTTCCTTTGAAAGTGGTTTGAAACGTAGATCGGAAGGTTTAGATACACATAATGCATATTTCTAAACATAAAAACAAAAGTTATTCACATAACTGATGAACATATAAGCAATTTATATTAAGCTGCCTCTACACTATACTGGGTTCATCACGAATTAGTACCCACAATTTTTTAGGTAGGTACTTCCGATCATCTTACAAAAAAATGTTGTGAACAAAATTTAGTTAGTACTCAATCGGCAAGAAATTGCAGTTTTAGAAATAGCCAAAAATATTTCTCTTCAATAAAAAATGAAGGTCACCATATGTTAGATTTTCTGTAGAAACGGTTTATGGTACGATCGACCGGGAACGGTTATTTTTGAGTTCAGGATTTTCGTTTATTGCTTGCACGGGTCTCATTACCTCCTCCGAGGGTCACTAGAATTGCTTTGCTAGATTTTTAGTAATTTGTGTCCCTCGCGCTCAATAGCCTACGAACATACCATAAACCACGAATTTCCGAACGGCACATCTGTACGCAACGGTCCGCTTGCCGATCAGTCACCCGGAGGAAATTCCAGATTTTTGGGACCTTCCGCCCACCCCTCGCGACCGTCTCCCACCCTTCCAAGGTGACAGCGCGCTAAGGGCGCACTGGAAGGGCGGTAAAGACGATATTAGACACGCTGATTGGCAAATGCAATCGTTAACCATTAACCAATCAGCGTGTCTCAACAAAAATGCCGCTCACGGACGTCCGAGACGCGACGTCGGAGAGTCAGTCGTCGAGTAGTCGTTCAACCACCACGAACAAGGAGAACCAAGGAGCAACCAGCTCACATCACGCGATACCATAGATCAGCTTTTACAAGTCCCAATCATTTGGGTGGTCCTTCGAACCAGTATCTAGACGGCACAACATCGTGCAAACATCCACAAAGCTCGAAAGTTCATCGCCATAACCACGGAAATTAACACCATGACTTTAAAATGGGACTATGTATTTTTGAGTTCATAGTATTATAGGTGATGTCAAGACGAATTCAACGACGTAGTATACTATGACCTTGTGATGACCGTAAATTCAGAAATCGTCACGTACCGATTGCCATGATATTTGACCTAATTGCCGACGATACACATCGTGGAAGCACCGAAAATCTTAAAGAACGCATAATACAGGCATGCAGAAGTGTACATACTTATTCTTTAATTGAAGCTGCACATCAAAATTTGTTACAAAGAGTAGAAACTTTGTGTTGAAAAAAGTGGGATACAGTTCGAACATTTACTTTAATTGATTTGATGTATGTCCTAAATAAAATTTAATTTCCAGTTGTTTATATTATCTTGTGTATGTTTTTCATTTTGTTTTCGTCTGAATGCGGTGCGTTGACGTTATGTATGGTCGAACTAATAATAAGTCAAATATCATGGCAATCGATTCATGACGATTTCTTAATTCAAGGTCATCATAAGGTTATAGTGTACTATGCCGTTAAATTCGTCTTGGCATCACCTATAATACTGTGAATTTAAAAATACATAGTCTCGTTTAAAAAGATTTATAGTGAACTTCGTGTTTTATTGAAGAGAAATGTTTTTTATTATTTTTAAAATTGAAGTTTTGTTGACAACATTTTTTTGTCAGATGATTAGAAGTGCCAAAAAAAATTGTGGGGACTGATTCATGACGCACCCTGTATAACAAAACAGTGTTATAAAACCTTGTTGTACAACATGTTTTTATAACTTGTTACAAGATTGTACCTTTTGGTACTGTAGTAACAAGTTTATAACAAGTTTGTGCAACATTTCGCATCTTATTATTAATAATGGCGACAAACGGTACATGGCAAATGTTTTATAATCGTATCACAGTAGTTTTGACCAACTGGCAACATGTCACAATAGCAATGTTTTATAACTTTCTTTGATACTTACCGACACTTGATGGATACATATAACTTGCTACATAACACCGAAAATATTATTTAACATAATGTTATGTAACATTTTTTTTCTCTTTTTCTAGCAAGTTTTAAAGCTCTGCTAATCAAGTGTTATGTAGATATTATTATAAAAACGTATACATATTTATATACATATTTTTGTAAAAACATGAAATAAAGGTTCAGCTTTTAGCAAGCCTCATTTATCCCATTTCTTTGTCTTTGTCTGAACTCAATATCGATAAAACACATTTTACTCATTCCTGTAAGGATTGATAACATGCCCATAACATCAACGACCAACGCCCTTTCGAGATCGTTCTGTATTTATGAAGCTCGGTTCTGTTCGCATGTATTGATTAATCGAATCAATTTCAATTGTATAGTACCTGGGATGTGTCGAGGTGTTCGAATCAAGGGGTATGCAAGTATGCGAGGAAGCTCTGAAAGTACTTAGGGTAAGCGACACGAAACACACGTAACACCTTTGATTTAATACAAGTACAACTGAAAGAAAGTTTAATCTCAACTTATCTTCTTAAAATGAATTCTTCTAGAATTCGAGACGGCGGCCAGTACGCGCAATTCTCCACGTATCAGGGGACGGTTTGCGAGTGGTTGAAGATGAGACAAAAGGTTTGATCGTCGATCAAACGATAGAGAAGGTTTCCTTTTGTGCTCCAGATCGGAATCACGAGAAGGGATTCAGTTACATCTGTAGAGACGGCACGACCAGACGATGGATGTGCCATGGGTTCTTGGCATTAAAAGAATCGGTAAGTGGAAGTGACAACACACCTGACTTTTGCCTTGTTCTTATTATTATTGGAGTGTCAACGAGGGCTAAGTGTGACGTAACATCTGTCAGTAGAAAAAAATGTGCCTTACGTAAATGAATTAGCATTTTACTATTGATGTTAATGAAGAATGTTTGAGTTTTATACACTTTATGACAGTGCTGTATATTGTCAATAAATATATTACGGCAAAGAGTGATAATTTATTAGACTGTTAATTTTATAGTTGTTATTCATTGTTAATTATTATATTATTTATTGCGTTAATCGTAAAATGTTTAGTACGTATACATTTGTAAAATTTATTCGCATCTTTTGATATTTCTTCATATCATATGATATTTCATTATTGTTTACGCGTAATTAAACTTATTCAATACTTACACGTACTACCAGGAAGTACTACCTTTTAAATATTATGTTGTATAATAAGGAACTATCGTATTTCTAACATTTGTAAATTGATCAAGTGTTCTATTGTTTTGTGTCGAAAAGTTCCAAGTTTTTTTGTGTTAATTTAAAGATCATACAATTATTGGGAAATCTAATGGTAATGTTTGATTGAATTTAAAATACGACCGTCATTCCACCCTGAAAGATCCGATATTTTATATTACACAACCATAAACCATTCGTATCTATACATACACTACCGTAAAAAGGCTAATAATTTGTTTTCCTGCTTAATAATTGAAGTTGTTTTTGTACCGCTTAACGTTATTTGTAGTTACTAGTATCACTTATTTTCACATTAGCAATATACAGGGTGTCCGATATAATATTTACCACGATTTTTCAAGCACTTCCGGTGATCTGACGAAAAAGTATTTTAAACACAACTTGATCAACTTTCAGTTGGCTGTAAGTTGCAATAAAAAAAATTTCGAAAAAGATTTTTTTTCCAATAAAAAGTCAAGATCACCTTCATTTTTTAAATGGTATTACCTACATATTTTTTACTTCATAGTATTATAGAGTTCAATCACCCGGGTACACTGTGACCTTGAAATGATTCTAGACAAATCAGAAGCCGCACCCATTGGTCTACGTATTTTGAATTTAGGTATCCACGAACGGTCTATAATGTACAACAATGAAAAAATGGATTACAATTCGAACATTTGTTATAATTTAAATAAGTTACTTCAATTTTTATTTTTCTGGTTACAATTTTTAATAATAAGTTTAATTTGTTGTCATTTTTTGATTTTATTTCTAGCAGAGGATATATTTACATAAAATTCAACACAAACAAAATAATTTTCCACGAAAACGTTTTCGTTCATTGATTCCACATTTCTGAATTCAAGGTCATTTCAAGGTTACAGTGTACCAGGTGATTGAACGTGTACCAGGTCTTGACATGAGCTACAATACTATGATGTGAAAAATATGTAATGCCTGTAGCGACACCTCCTACGCTCTGCTACCAGAAGGACGGACTAACCGGGAATTCTGGTTAGTCTTCATAAAAGCTCCTGTTTGTATATATAGAACTTTGATCTGAGCCCTTTCAGTCCGTCCTGCGCCATTTAAAAAATGAAGGTGACCTTAAGTTTTCTATGGAGAAAAAAACTTTTTGGAAATTCTTTTTATTGAAACTTGCAGCCGACTGAAAACTGATCAACTTTTGTTGAAAACACTTTTTCGTCAGATCACCAGAAGTACTTGAAAAATCGTAGTGTTATGTGGGACACCCTGTATACATATATGTATGTACATATTTTATAAATATGCATTCAACCGTTAGATGATTAATATTTATTCTCTCTCCTATTTTTGTTTAGTAGGTACATTTTGAAATTTTTTATTATATTTTCTATATTTATTTAAAATAATGAAAACAGATTAATAACAAGTAGTTCATAATTTTTTTTATTTAGAATATAATTGAGTTATTGATCTCATTTACTATTATTTACTATTTAGTACAAAATGCTGTAAAGTATTACTTTTTTAGTAAAAGTCAATAACAGAGAATCTCTATGTCATGAAATTTATTAAATCGCTAGATAATTGTATACTATTGTAGTATCGGGGTCTCCATACCTAAATAGGAAACCGACCAGGGAAAATAGAGAGGCAGTTGTTGGCGTAGTGCGCAAAGGTTCGGCTTGCCAGCTTTAAGTCTCGCGAGTTCTTGATTCCCGTTGGACCCCTCAAAATTTGTCCTCGGTTCCTACACTATCTAATGTGATTTTACATTATACTACAATAAAACAAGTGTTATCTCTCAAATGAAAACTAAATAATAAAATATAAGTTTATACAGAAATGTTTCATATGTATGTAAAAAAGTGATAATTGATTCAGTTAATAAACAAGGAAGATTGATTATCAGTACCATTATTTACTTCATATTTTTTATGAGATATTAAACCTTTCGCTACGAAAGGCATACCTACATATATACAATGACTCTTACTAATATTCGGACACTTTAAAAGAGTATAACTTTTTTAAAACAGAACTTTACTAGATGATGTGTAAAAAAAATTTTTGAAAAAATTGCAATTGGTGGGAATCACGATGAAAATTATAAAGGTCACTTTTTACAACTTTTTTGTCTGAGGTTGTAAAGAATTTTTAGAACATACATTTTGTAGATTTATGTCAATTATATACATGCTGAAAGTTTCATCAAAATCGGTTGATGCAGAAACAAGTGACAGGCATCGAAAGATGTAAGAATCTTTAGATTTATTACAGAAAGATGGAAAAGAAAAGATCAGATCAGAAAAACTGCGATTTTCACAACCTTTAACCGTTTGTAGCTAATAACAATGTTAACCGATTTCGATCAAATTTTCAGCACGTACATATATGGCATGAATCTACAAAACGTGTCTTTTAAATTTTCATTATCGGCTCAGATAAAAAAGTTGTAAAAAGTGACCCTTACTGTTCTCTTCGCGATTCCAACAAATTGCAATTTATTCAAAAATTTTTTTACACATCATCTGGTAAACTAATCCTTCTAACTTCAAAAAAAAAAAAAGTTGTTTGGTCCAGTATTAAGAAAGTTAGGTATAACATTCTAAAGAGTGTCCGAATATTAATAAGTGTCACTGTATACGCTCTGTAAAATGGTTAGTTTATTAACTTATTTTCAGACTTCACAAATAAAATATCGCTGTCGGCTGAAAGTCAGATGACATCAAATTTCAATCATACGTATCTTTATTTTTATGCAAGCGTTGAATAATAACTGTTTCGTCTAGTACTTAGCGAGCATTGTTTGTCTCCAGCGTGCCGTAGCGAAAAAGTTAATCTTTCCACGAAAAGCAGTAAAAGAGTTGGTTCTATTATTGAGAAATTCCATTGAGTTCATACTTAATACATATCCACCCTGTTCCTTTAGGGGGAGCGTTTGAGTCATGCTGTGGGCTGTGCTTTTGCTGCATGCCTGGAAAGAAAGCAGCGAAGGGACAAAGAATGTGGTGTCACGATGACGTTTGATTCGAAAACTTCAACTTTCACCAGGAGCGGCAGCTTCAGGCAACCATCTCTAACCGAACGATTGCAGGATTCGCGCGAACGCGCTGTAGGTCAGTGAGTTTTCCTACTAATACATTACTTTTTACAAAAGAATACATGTATAATAAAATAAACATTTTATTACATAATTTTTAATTTATTTTATTAATTTGAGTTTAAAACAATAATTATGCAATATATGGATTTTGAAATTGTGGGTTGAAAAATTTGATCACCAATTGTTTGTTTATTCAGAAATTCTTTACTGTTAATTGTATTGTTGTATCTCCTCTAGATATAAAATACATATGTATGTGAGATTAGACACATTCTCATTTACAAGAACCAAACTAAAGTAATTAATTAAAATTTGTAGTGATTTATGATTAAATATATATTTGAGAAATGATTGTTAACTTGTTGATCAGAGATGACGAGTTAACTCGTCATTGGAAAATACTTCCACAGTGGGCAAGACGAGTTAATTCGTCACAGAACTTTAAAGATTACACTAGCATACTCAACATCGATGTATTATTTGATTCTTATTCCCATCACATGGTGTATCGCCCAATGTTTATTCACTTTTTTTTTTGTTTCAATCAACGAAATCCAAATGTTGCGATCTCATTAGGGCGCAACGAAGCCTTGGTTTGGCGGATTATGACAATAAACGATTTAGTCACATTTGGCCGCCAGACCGAGGTGCCGACGTTCGGCAAACCACCATATACCCCCCCGTGGACGCACCGGCGCGACACTCAGACAATAGGTCCCAAAACACTTGGGACCATAAAACATTCGTTACCGGGACCATAAAAATCACATCTTTCGTCGATCAATAGTAAAACATGCCACATTTTCCACCTCCATAACACAACACCAATGAGAACCAACACAGCGTCTATGTATACACCTACACACCATCGAAACGCGAATTATTGTTAGACCAATGAACGATATACATCGTCACGACGGCAGATACAGTTTTTCCAAAGACTCGCCCGAGAGTCTCGTAACACGTTACATCAGACTCGATCGAGAGTCACCTTCTAAGTTTCAATACGGTCATCCGGATTAATTTCCCGGTGACCAGCGCTTGAGCGACCGTCGCGAGTGCGCGTAAGCAGGATTTATGACCCTGCGAAATTCACTGAAGAATTGCGGAGCAAGGGACGCAACACCAAGCTACAATCGCCACTTATTTCAATAGGAAATATCGAAACAACTTGCATACGGCTTATGTATATACCATATTGAAACTTATATTTTGTTCTGTTTTATCTTGAATAAAAATGAATGATTTGACCAGGCTTACATTAGGACAGGACACTGCAAACTTACACATGACTACCTAATAAAAAAAAACAGGACCACCAACGTGTAACGTCTGTAAGCAAATTATATCGACCAAACACCTACTATTCGAATGCAGAAGATACCACACCCAAAGACAAAAATATAAAATAACATCGACAGCGGCCTTCAAGTCACAGAAACACGTAGAAAATACCTTAAACTATCTAAAGGACATCAACATCTGCCATAACATATAATCGGATAGAAATGAAGAAAACAGGACCTAGTCGTCGCTAATGTCATGAAGATTGATGCGACGTAAAACTCGAAATACAAAAAAAAAAAAATGAATGATTCTGACAACAACTTTCCTTTATTTAATAAAAAATGGACATACCTAATTCTGCCCACAAGTGATAGTGATAATATTAAAACGGATGATGAACGCACAAGCGAGGTTAACATTGAGCTTGAAAATGCAAGTACAAGTGAAGTAGAACATGAAAATGGAAATACGGTTGAGACAAAAGTTGAAAATATAAATACGAGAACAGTTACATAGGATAGTGAAGGAACTGTAAGAACTTCATTATGCTCTACGTACACGTAGTTTCATTAAATTCACGATGACAGTACCTAATATGTACAATAATATAAACGTGGCATTTCAAAATTAACACCCCAAGTACGCAGTGACTATACGGGGGGGGCAAAAGCGACTGCTGAAATTGCAACTTATAAGATATCAATCAGCGGATTGAAAAAATATTATAGGAAAATATTCTTACATCTTTTGGATATTTCTCATAAATTTAATACTTATAAGTTATACATACAATCGAGATAATGGAAAGCTACATACAGGGTGAACGAAGTATCTTGATCACCTCGAATATCTCACTTGTTTTTGATAATATGAAAAAGTATTAAAGGAAAACTTTATTTAGTTCGAAGGGGCAAATATTATGGTACTCAGAGAATGTTTCTCAGGGCCATATTTTTCGAAATTTCAAGGTCATCCATATTTTTCTAAATGGGTGTACATATTTTTATCATTATGACGTAATAGTTGAGGTCAAGACCTATCCAAAGACCTATAATACCGCGACCTTCACGTGACCTTCAGTACGAAAAATTCAGACTTATTTTCCATGCATTTATTTTATTGAAGGAACTTTAACCGGAACAAAGTATGTTGCGTTTTTATAAAATAATTTGCAAGTTCTTTTAGAAGACTCACCGCTAGAAGTTCGGATGCAAATACGGTACCAACATGAGGGTTGTTCGGCACATAATGCTCGTCCGGCACGTGAAGTTCTTAATCGAATGTTTTCTAATCGTTAAATTTGTCGCGGTGCTATTTCAGTCCCCTAGATTTTTTCTTATGGGTTACGATAAAAAAAAGTTCACAAAGATGTTCCTATAACACCAGGAAACATGCAACAACGAATTATTGTTGCATGCTCAACAATGAATGATGATGCAAATTTATTTGAAACAATTAGACATTTACTTAGAGCACTTAGGGCAAGTACAAACATCGATCACAATTAGAATAATGTCGTTTTCTCAAATGAAGCTTCCTTTGGGCACAGTCTATATTTCGCCGTGCTTGGTCTTCACCTACCAACAGATTGGCCTATAGGACAGTTAACACTGCAGACTGGCTATTTCAAGTCAAAAATATCCCGTACAGCCGGCTATTTTTCTTCACTTGAATATACAGTAATATCTCTCACATTGTCGCTCTGGTCGGAACTGAAAGGCGTCAGTTTGGGTAGAGGAGACACGGTTTCCGAGGGTCACAGCCCGCCTTTGTAGTTCGCCGAACGAAGATAAGGATGAAATGAGGGTCGAGGTAACCGAGCGATTTAAACACCAGCGTTTTTATTTTTAACTTTTTCTCTATGAAAAAGTTATTAATATATTGATGAGATTGTTCTGATTAAAATGAGACCAAACACGATATAATTTGAACAACATTTACTTATTAATACTTATTGAGTAACTCATTTGATTTCATTATCGCTTTGAATAAATTACAAAAACGGATTATTAAAAAAATACGTGAAATATTTGTACATATTGTCCGTCGAATATAAGCTGTGCCTTCACATTTACCGTCAAGTGCATAAGCGGTGCCTGGAAAATTTTCACAGCTTACATACATGAAGGCACGGCCCGTGTGATAGCGACAATGTGAAGGGAGGAACAAAACTGAA